TAATCACCCTGGTATGCTCAAAATTGTAAATATGAATGGGAATATACTTCACAGATATTTTACTCATAAGAATTTCTAGGGGTGCCAATAATTGTGTCCAACGTGTATTTGAGAAAAACATTTATTTCATAATGAGATTTCCCCCCATTTTCAGTTGTTTTAGTTCAATGAAAGGTTAGATTTATGTGATTTTTAAAAAATAAATGATCAAAATGATTAACAATGCAGATTTATTTTCACAGCCGCCTTTGATCATATTTACCAAGGGTGCCAATAATTCTGACCACGACTGTACAGTAAATCTTGTGCCTTTGTTGAAGTTTGAGAAATTGATATCGCAAAACTTTTTTTTTTTTCTTTCCTGCAGGTTTGGACTGAGCAATAAATTTGAGTCTGAGTTTCCCTCAGCCCTTACAGGAAAGGTAAGTGTCATTTCAGCGGGTTTTTCTCAAGGAAATAATATTACATGCAGAATTATATATTAGTAATCTCAGTGAGAAGAAATGAAAAGCCTCAAAGTCTGTTGTTACTGGTATTCAGAAATGAAAAGGAATGGTGTACCACTGTTACATTATATAATGCTTAAAACAATTGTTTAGCCCAAAATTGTTGTGGGACACCAAATAAGAAGTTTAGCAGAATGTTCACTTCTGGGGATTGTTTTTGGATGAGAGCATTTTCTTTTCTTGATTTTTTTTTTCTTGAACCCCTCCCAAACAACATGTGGTGTAGGTGCTGTTTGAGTTTTTTTTTTTTTAAGGTTTTCTGACCCCGAGACTCAACTGTTTTCTGCAATAACAATGCAGATTTATTTTCACAGCCGCCTTTGATCATATTTACCAAGGGTGCCAATAATTCTGACCACGACTGTACAGTAAATCTTGTGCCTTTGTTGAAGTTTGAGAAATTGATATCGCAAAACTTTTTTTTTTTTCTTTCCTGCAGGTTTGGACTGAGCAATAAATTTGAGTCTGAGTTTCCCTCAGCCCTTACAGGAAAGGTAAGTGTCATTTCAGCGGGTTTTTCTCAAGGAAATAATATTACATGCAGAATTATATATTAGTAATCTCAGTGAGAAGAAATGAAAAGCCTCAAAGTCTGTTGTTACTGGTATTCAGAAATGAAAAGGAATGGTGTACCACTGTTACATTATATAATGCTTAAAACAATTGTTTAGCCCAAAATTGTTGTGGGACACCAAATAAGAAGTTTAGCAGAATGTTCACTTGCACAGTTGCACTTTTCAATAGTAACTGATTGTCAAGTGTATATTTTACAATTTGGCAAGTGTCCCACGTAATCCTGAGGTCTGACATGGGTTCTTGCTTTATTTGTTGATTTACAGGTCGCACCAGAAGAGTTCAAAGCCAGCATAAACCGTGTGAACAGCTGTCTGAGGAAGGCTCTCCCGGTGAATGTGCGCTGGCTGCTGTGCGGCTGTCTGTGCTGTTGCTGTACTCTGGGCTTTAGTCTGTGGCCGGTCATCTGTCTGAGCAAGAGGGTGAGTTTGTTCAGAGTCACTTCAAGGGATGTTCCTGGTTTAATAGAAGTTTAGCTTTATTGAAATGAGTTGAATGAGTTAAACTTACCTCTCAGTTTATAAAAAGACAAATATCGGGTGCATAGAAACTCATCTACAAAAGAAATATATGGGTTAGGGATGTGGTGTAATTTTTCATCACATGGTGTAATATTGTAAGTTCTGCAGATCAAATAACAAAGTTTTAATTGAAAAACAAAAAAACAGAAAAACAAGCTTTACCTTTCTAGACTTTGCAATTCATTTTTATTTTTTTATTTTTTTTTTAGGCAAAAAGTGGGACGGTATTTTCTGGGATAATTTACAGCACTTTTAAAAATAAATTAATTAATGCTTTATTCAACTAGGATACATTAAATTGATCATCTATAATGTTACAAAAGATTTATTTAAAAAAATGCTGATGGTTTGAACTTTAAACTTTAAATATTTCAAAAATTAAGCAGCACAACTGTTTTCAACTGTTTGTTTCTTGAGCAACAAATCAGTGCATTAGAATGATTTTTTTATTTTTTATTATGTGACTGCTAGAAATTCAGTTTTGCCATCACAGGAGTAAATTATATTTTTTAAATAGAAAGCTGTTATTTTAAATTGTAATAATATTTCACCATATTTACTGAATTTTTGAATCAAATAAATGCAGCCTTGGTGAGCATAAGAGACTTAGTCTCCAAACTTTTGAAGAGTAGTGTACATTATAGGACATAAACAACAAGCTCTTTTAAAGTTGTTATTATACCTTTTGAATGCTGAATAATATGTCTCTTTTCACCTATAGACACGCAGATCCATAGAGAAGTTACTGGAGTGGGAAAACAACAGATTGTATCACAAGGTATGCTTAAGGTTTCTTGCTTGTTTGCATTTTCCTGTCTGGTGCTAATTTTACTACGTGCCCTCTGTTCATTTAGCTATGTTTGCATTGGAGGCTCAGCAAAAGGAAGTGTGAAACCAACAACATGATGGAATATGTAAGCCAACAACGAACACCCAAATCTAATTGCACAGTGACTGTTTCAAATAAAATAACTAGTGAAATGTGTTAACTTCACATTCCTCATGTCTCTCTGTCCTATTTATAGGTCATCCTGATAGAGTTTCTACCCAAGATTCCCATCTTCAGGCCGGATTAGCAGTGGCGGGCCAGAGCTCGTCCCTCCGGCGTGGTCTTCCTGAGGTGCCTTTCTCCGGTACTGTCTTGGTTTTATCATGTGGCCTCGTCCCTTTTCCCTCCACACTCTGAGCAAGCGACTCACCTCACGCCCGAGCGCCACTCACAGCACTCCTCACCGAGAAAGCACTGTTTACAACCCACATACACACATACTGAGGCACACGTCTGTGCCGTTCTGGTTTTGCGAGTGCATGAATACACACAGAGTGACCTTTACTGTCACATGGCTACACCGAGCCTGCGAGGAGGCCACGGAAAGTCCTAACTGGAACGTCTACTATACCTTAACTAAATCACACAGTCTGCGTACTAGCTAAGTGACTTTCTTTTGCCGACAGCAACCATCACTGTGGAACTGATCAGTGAAGAATGGCTTGAGGAAGTGGCAACTGTAGAATTAAACTCTTTTACTGTATTAATTCAAAATATGGATGTTAGGAACGATTCATATGGATTTTCAGTTAGCTGAGAGCCAAATTGACACGGTCAATGCACAATACATGGTTCCCCATATCTCCTTTTCAAAAATGATCATCCATATACACAGACAATCAAACACTGACTGTGCCACGCAGCATCTAGACTCTGACAGGACTTTTGAGTCTAGTTGAAGTCACTGACCTGATGCGGTCCAGGTGCACCTATGGGTAGTGATGCAGCACAGATTAGATTTGTTTGCGGGTTTTTTTTTTTTATCCTTGTTTACTTGCTCAGTTTAAAAAGACGAGCAGTAAATATTTGTCTCTTGATTTGTGTGTGTGTGTGTGTGGGTGATTATTTCTGTCTGTCCCTGAGATATTTTGTTTGTAATTTTGTTCACAAGTGAGAGACAAAACATTTATAGGTTTGTTGGGTCACTGAAAAAGTTAATTCATTTTAACAATTTATTGGTGGTGAAACAAAAAAAAAAAGTTCTGTTTTTTTTATTTTTTTTATGAACCCCCAAATATCGGAGTTTCTCCAGGGCAGAAATGCTTTTTTTTATTTAATATTTTTCACTTAATGTGTTTGTTTTTTCATCATTGTTTCAATCCTGGATCAGGAGTCCTATGCAGACATTTTCTCCTAGTGAGCTATATTTGTGTAAATGTATCCAGTTGTAGGTTAATAAAACAGTTATGTCCCAATACTCAATAAAACAATTGGTTATTAGATCTTAAAACTTAAAATGTATGAAGTGTGTATGTGTGTGCGATTACCAATATTATTACTGAAATTACAATTTCCTATCTCGCGTCTGATGTCATCCCAAATCCCAGGGACATCGTCTTTATTTTTCAAAAATAATTCCAGCGTATTTATGTACAATGTGTGTACAGAAATAAAATATGCCCAACTTGATTTTTGTTTCATTTTTCCATTTAATGCTGAATATAAGCTGTTTGAATTCAAAGAGTTTAATATTGAATTAAGCACAGTTATTGTGGTTTAGTCTGTCTTAAAACTGTATCTGCTAATAATTGCTCATACTTCAGATAAGGGGTTTATGAATCTCATATATTAAACAATGACATGTAACTCGTCCCTGAATCAAATGTCCTGCTGACCTTAATAATTCGTGCGACTTATGTTATAAACAATAATCAACTTCATGGTGTGCTACAAACTCTCAAAAGTACAATAGCAACTGGACCACAATACTAAAGGAACTGTGGGACCAGTTTTTGAGTGGGAAAGCAGCGTTAGAATTGTCTTCCGGGAATGTAAAAACCTAAGTGTATCCTTACAAATTAAAAAATCTTGCTGCTATTATTATTGTATTAAGCTGTACACAATTTAAAGACAAAAACTGTGTCTTAACCTCAATTAAATAGGTACAAAGCCAATCTCTCACAGTTAGACATCTGTATTGTAGAAGACATCAGTTACAGACAGCGGTTCTAGACAGTGAAATGGTGATGAAGCAGCTCTCACTCCTCCCATGTGTCTCCAAATATATTCTTCTTCCCTGTTTACCAAAAAAAAAAGGAATATATATGAAGTAGGTAAAAACATTTTTACTAGTATATGTACAAAACACTACTCTTACTTAATACAGAAAAAAACTTTAGGGTCAGTATAGATTTGAAATAATTAATTTGATCAAATAATTGATCAAAAGTAACTGTAAGAACATTTATAATGATACAAAAGATGTCTAGTTCAAATAAATGCTGTTCTTTTGAACTTTTCTATTCATCGTTTATATCATCCTGAATAAAAATGTATTACTTGTTTCCACAAAAATATTAACTGGTTTCAACACTGATAATAAGAAATGTTTCATGAGCACCAAATCAGCCTATCAGAATGATTTCTGAAGGATCATGTGACACTGAAGACTGGAGTATTTACAGGAATAAATTACATTTTTAAAAGCGTATGAAATTATATTAAATTGTAATAATATTTAACAATATTGTCATTTTTTTAGTGTATTTACGATTAAATAATTGGTCAGCATAAGAAATCTAACCAACCCCAAACTTTTGAAGGAAAACCTACTCCATTGTTTCTTGGCTTTGGCTGTGGCATAATACAGTATCAAACAAATTCAATTGACAGATCTCAGTTATTAAGTATAAGTATTTATTTAGTATACTCGACCTGTGTCTCAACCTGACACTTCAAAAGTAGTAACTTTTTATTTCTCCATGTACATTTGGGTTTTTTAGTTTAGGACGCTGGTTATTGTCATATCTCACCTCTCTTGGCTGGGTTGGTCTCGGCCGAAGGTTTCAACAGTGTCTTTGGTTTGGGAGTCGTACCTTCATAGTTTTCCCTGTTCTTACTCCGCAGCTCCTCGTACAGAATGTGTTTCTTCTGTACATCCTCCTCAATGTAAGTTGGTTCTGCTGGATTAGAGGGATGTTTTTAAATTTCACTCTGACGTAAAAATGACATCAGTTTAATTTCTACTCTTTTAATATTCTAAGAAATGAGATCTGCAGCAAATGTTAGGAGGGTTATAAGACCAAACATGAATCTCGACCATATTGTTTGTGATTGTGGCTCTGTGCTACAAAAAGTCTGTTCGCTGCTTTAATGGTGAATTTTTTTTTAAATTTAGTAATTAATATTAGTTTAGAATTAATATTAGGAATTTCACTGGCAGCTTTTGAGAGAAGCTTCTTAGGGTTTTACCAGTTTATAATAGATAGTGCATTAATGTTTTTGTTAAATATGGTAAATTAGAAAACTAGATGAGGTCAAATAAACCAACATCACGCCGGATCTGGGTCAGCGCCGGCGCCACCACACGCTCGAGTCATGATACTGTCGTGAACGCGCGTCCACAAGTGACGCAGTAGAGACGAAAATGTGGAATAAAGTGATTATTGTCGATCATCTTGGTACTTTTCTGGACCTTGAACGTGGTAGTTACCTTGCTGTCTATGGGAGGGTCAGAGAGCCCTTAGATATCATCAAAAATATCTTAAATTGTGTTCCGAAGATGAACGAATGTCTTATGGGTTTCGAACAACACAAGGGTGAGTAATTAATGACAGAATTTTCATTTTTGGGTGAACTAACCCTTTAAATCATGATCATTTTTGAGCAAAAATAATTGTGATTATCAGTTTCACCATTATCGTGCTGCCCTCTCCGGCAGTTTTTATTGAAAACGGATGGAGGCACTTTAACCTACCTGTAATTTGGGTGTCAGAGTGAGTTGCTGAGGACATGTAAGTGAAATCACTCGAATAGGAGAAGGACTGATTCCTCTGATCATCAAGTTGAAAGGCTGGCTCAAAGTTGGCTTTGTTTGGATCACTCAGTTCCGGGTGTTTATGGGTAAACCTGAAATACATTAAAATAAACTGTAGACCAATAGACCATTGTTTGGGGAAAAAAAATCTTTTATGTTCCACAGAAGACAGAAAGAATGTTTAGGAATCCTTTGAGAATTTGGTGATGCTAGTGGCACAGAAATCGCACGCCACCCCTTTAAATGTAGGTGGCATGTCTGTGCATGTTGTTGCTCACACTGGTGGTTGGTGGTGCTGTCTCTGTCTCAGTGCCTCCCCCAGTGGCGAACTCTCCAAGCTCTTAAAGGGGTCATATGATCGATGAGCTTTGTAAAAATCGACGCGTTTCAGAAAGGCAGGGCATAGAGGAGAAAAAATTATGTACAGTATGTGGAAAATAATGTGTTTTTTGAATCTTAAACCACATAAACATTTCATTACACCAAATACACAAAATAATGTTCTTTTTAGCAACATCATATGACCCCTTTAAATTTCTCCTGGCATGTCTTCATGTATGACATCTTCCCTCCGAGGTACCCAAAAACACCAGCAACTAACACATATTTAACACATACGTATATTTAATATTCAGTCTATCAATAAGTCATATCAGTAACTAAAGCAATAAGCCCCAAGAAGCTTCACGGGGCTTATTGCTTTTATAAAACGGTTATTCCATATACGTAGAAAGGTTTCACAAAATAAAACGGAGCAAATAAAGTGTAATGATATTAATAAAAA